TTATGAAACTTGAAATTGTTATTTAAAAAAAAGGAAGGCTTCCAAAATAATGGATTTCACAGATATAGTAAACTGAAGAGTAACCAACCTTCTCATTGTTGTTAAGAGCCAAATAAATTTTGGGGCAGTATTTTCTCTTGAGGTCTCTTTCTTCTTGAAATCAATGGGAATGTCATCGTTTTCAATCTCAATACATCATTGCTTCTAGCTAAGTCGAGAGATCTATCATTAGGTGGCTCACTTCATATAATATAAATAACAACATCTTTCACAATTAGAGATGACAATGTGTCTGTTTTGGGGCGGGTCTTTGAAGTCCTTATCCGATCCGCAACCATATGAGAACATGAACTTACCTTGAATCCCAGACAAGTTCATTACTTTTGGCATAATTTTTGGCCTGTCTTGGTTTTTGCGAAGAATTTGAACCTAGTCTACATGTTATGTGCGAATTAATTGAAATAGATTTAATTAAGATTATAATTAGTTAATTAACTAATTAATTAAGTTAACAACAAATTCAATAATTGGACATAACTTAATTAAAATACAAATAATTCGACGTAATTTTGTATTTTTTAATAAAAAAAGATTTTAAAAAATATCATTTAAAATATTATATAGAGGTGGGTTGGTTTCAAATGAATCGACCTTCTTGGTACAACACAAATTACTAACCAACCCGTCTTGACCTAGATCCGAACTATTTTAAAAAACTGAAACGGCGCGAAGTGGGTAATGGTCAATGGAGGTCTGTCAGCCTTCTTCAAGGCTTCTAGAGGCCTCAAATAGGTTGATCCATTAATCTCCCGTACTTTTCACTGTGGTCATGGAAGTTCTGAATTAAATATTGATAAGAGTCAAAGTTAGAATTATTCAGAGGCCAGAAATGGGGAAACATGCTGAGGAGGTGCCCTACCTACTTTTTGCAGATGATACTATTTTATTATGTGAGCCAGATAAAAGGTTTATGCTCAATCTTATGTTTGTAGATGGGTTTCCAAGCGATTTAGGGAGTCATCATCAATTTTACCAAATCTGAGATGGTTAGATTGGGGGATGAGAGTGATTTTGACAATTTGGCGAGGGTCATGGGCTGTAAGGCAGTTAAATTGTTGATTAAGTATTTGGGACTACCATTGGAGGCCAATTTTGAAGATGTGAGGATATGAGATCATGTGGTGGCTAGGTTTGAGTAGAAGTTAGCAGGATGAAAGAGAGCTCTTATTCTAAAAGGGGGAGATTTGCACTTATAAAAAAGACACTGGGTAATTTACTGATTTATTATATGTCCCTCTTGACTATCCCAGTGAGCTGGCTAAACAATTGGAAAGCTATTCAAAGTAGATTCTTATGGGCTGA